ATTCAATCACTTCCGCATTTTTGGTAAATATCCACAAAAGTTGTTTAGCATCCAAACGGTTAAATAATTCAGATAATAATCAAATCATAAGTCGTCGAAATTTAAATACATAATTAAACAATTCGTTCGTTTAGTAGTATATAAATTCAATTGAAAATTTAAGACGGGGTCTAACTTAATATTATCGATTGGAGATCAAATATTACTCGATTTATTAAGAAACTCAATATTACTTTAACATTTGTTATTTTATTTCGAATTTCAAGTATGTCACATCCGATTAAAATCACTTTATCGAATGATTCTATCGAAAAGATATTATTTTAACTTCTATTACTGTTTATATGAACTTTTAATATTTATTTTCATGTATCCTGTTTTGTTATCTTTAGACGAGTAATTCTTTTTTTCCAATCTTTTCCTGTATGTGTATCTTACAGAAATCAAAAATCTTACTTGCCATCGTTTATTTCTTTCTGCATTTGTTTCGCTTGAAGAAACAAAACACACGCATATCTTTTTATTTTTTCCCTTTAACTGCTCATTCTTCAGAGAGAAGCAAATGAGGCCAGCATTCAGGTATTCACCAGCCATATAACCGGCGTGCAACGTGCGAATAAGCTTAATCCAATCTTCGCGTACCTTCTTTTTAGCTTCGATGCTCTTGCCCACGTAATTACTGCGTATCGCGTGTCGCTGATCGAACGAAGAATTCGAGTCCTGTTGTTCATCGTTCGCGGTGTCCGACGTGTCTCTCGTTATGTAACTGTTTCCGTTGCTCCGGATTTGTATCCTCGATTCGGGGGGATATTCCGTGGCTGGACATTTGCCAGATAACGTCCTGGAAATCCTCGATTCCGGAAAGCGTACCTTTTTCAGTGAAACAATGAAAACGTTCCGTTGATTTACAAAATTCAGTGGAATGCTCCTCGATTGACGAAATTTGCCAACCCAATAAAGTAACATTTGAAGAGGCATACGTGTGATTTCAATTTGTTGCGCGTCGTTCGGGCAGAACATTGTTAAAAAATAATGACGTTAGAATCGGAGGTTCAGTCGACAAAATATTCGAAAGCGTTTGGAAAAGCTGAAGCACAAGCGTTTGACGTGGAATATTCCCTTTAATAAACTAATAATAACTTGGCTAGAAACAGATTATATCGATTCTGCGAAATTGCTTCGGACAGACCGTTTATGCGACGGCTATGGTAACCGTTCTGTCCGGAACCGGATTTCGAGCGAAGCGGCGTATCGTATCTCAACTGTGATTCCGCTTTCGTGCCGAAAAACAAACATTTTCGCCCACGCGATTATTAATTCGAAACTTTTTGCGCTACTAACGAGCGAACTTGCTCGCGCGTGTGCATTTATTGTGAAACTTTTAGCCGGTTTTATCAGCCGATGTTATTGCAATTGAATTCCTACTGCCCAAATTCGAATGTTTAAACTTACAGCATATTGATACGTTAATTCCACATTTAGCAAATAATTTCCTCACGAGATTCTATATTCATTAACAAAATCTTTTTTCAATTTGAACGTTTATCTTATGATTGAAGTAATATCGAAAATGGATTCGTTATTAAGATGCAAGTCAATTTTCGACTGAAGCGTTAGTATCATTCAATGATATTTTTATTCTTCGATGTGTTTAAAATCTATCGAATCGTTATTGATAGGGCTACTGAAAATTACTGCGACTTTGTAATGTCAGGTACGTTCTGTGCTTTAAAAGTAAAGGAACTTTGTAAGTACACTCATCTGTAACATTCGAAACAAAAATTGCTTTTAATATATTGATACTTAACCCTAACCGAACCACGTTGTGACTTTGAGTCACATTTAGACTTTTTACTTAAGTTTTTTGATTATTTCATATTTCTAAAAGTTTCTTTGGTCTTTGAAAATTTGGACCCCGTAAACAGGAACAATAACATTTTAATTATTTCTTTTATTATCATAAACGGCTGAGAGTCGCATCGTGCTATGATTCGTTATAAAAACACGTGGCACGATTAGGGTTGATACGGTATTTATTAGTTTAAACAAGAAACGGAAGCTCGCGTGAAGCGATCGAGCTTAAAAAATACACGTACTTTATGAGGTTTTGCACAGTTAAGCCCCTTAAGGAAGATTATTGTTCGTGGGTCACGTAATGTGCCGAATAAAATGTCAAACTCGCACGTGAGCATACAAGATAAGAAGCTACGCGACAGAATTGCCAATGAAACGGTTTCCAGTGGGAATTTTTGCGAGTGGACGTTTCCTAATTACAATGGGGCTCGGTTAAATTCCACTGCCGCGAAATTGTAGAATTTAAGCGAGCATTACTGAACGTGGCAAATTCAATAATTATGCAAATAAGATTAATGTCGAACGAAGCGTGATAATGCGAGATGTCAGTTTCATGGTAACGTTTAAAGTGCCTTCATAATTAACTTCTCGTTTATTCAACCGACACTGTCAAGCAATTTCATCCACTTTACACAGTGAACTGTGTGGAGCGTATATATCACGTGTTTCACTTCGCTCTTCCAAAGGTATATCATATATTCGGGAAAGATATATATTTTTTCTTTAAAATGAAATTCTCATCCGCATCGATTAAAATGTATAAAAAAATACAGTTCTTTCGAGGGAAGGTAAATACCGCACGTTTTCTCATCATCGAGAATTTTTTTCAACCCGATCGATCCGTTCGTAAGAGCGATGAAAGTACAAAATTGATTTATTTACTTCCAATTAGTAAGTTATGAAACTGAACTCTCATTCGATTCTCGTTTCTCTTTATTTGCGATTGTGCGTTAGCGTTCCCGCTTTTATTTTTTACAATCTCTCCTTCGACACGGCGTTTACTATAACGTACACAGGAATTTAGATGAATTTTACTGGAATTTACTGCAGCATGCCGACGATGGATGGTCTTTCGTTTAAATCTAATGATGTTCGAAATTAATAACTGTGAATGAAATTAATCTGTGCGCTGTGCGCGCCGGTTCGATCAGTTTTGCAGCTAGCGAACGATAAATAATTGTATAATACAATTTGCAACGTTCTTGAAAGACTTTTATGTTTCTGATATTTTCAACTTTTTTCATCTTTATTGTCTCTCGATGAATGAACTTTATTTCAGTACGACCGAAGTGAACGTGTAATTACACTGTTATAAATTTCTGTTTAAATGAAATAATAAGTCGCAAGTTATAAACTTCATTCGTTTATATTCTTTTACCCCCGTCGTTAGATTAAACATTGTACAAGATTTATTAAAACGAATGTTTCCTCCTGGACGTTATAAGATTGTTGTCATCCCAGTAATAATTTTCTCCTTACACGAACATTATTATCCACCAGCGTATCTTCTATGCGTAATATAAGGCAAAGCAGAACGGAACAAGTTACATTATTCTCCGACTCCGTATTCACCCATAACAATGGAAAAGTTGGTCACAAAGTAAACTTTCTGATTGTTGTATCAATGTCCCTCGGAAACGGTGGAAGTTTAAAAAGAGAACTAATTTCTCTTGCATGTCATTTTCGATACGAAAATTCAATTTCATTAAACAACCACGCGAATGCAAAATATTATTCATTCGGTACTCGATTAACATCACAAATCTCTGCAAGTTATCAATTAATTTTTATATTTCATTCGAATAGCGATTACATTAGTTTCGCATTTAATAAACCAGGGAACACCTAAATTTCTCTGTTGTAATAAAAATCATTTTGATAAAACTCTGTTTCACGTTAGGCAACCTGATTATTCTCGTTCAATATATTCATGTCGACTTGTGAAAAACCGAGTAGCATTTAGAACGAGCAGAAGGGAATACTTGAATATTAAATTTTCATTTTCAGCGTCTGTTCGCTACGAAAATATTGAGTGCAGAAAATCTTTTACAGTGATTTTAGTTATTATTATATATTTACATAAAATATTATCGTGTTTAATTATTATTATATATTTACAAAGAATATTATCGTTATATATTTCTATATAACAATACTAGGCTTACCAAAAAATTCTGTTCGACAATATCACCTCAAGTCGTCCACAAATTACAATCACGCTGGTGAGTTCATTAGCAACAGAGGAATTCACATAGTACAATACATGGCGACCACCTAAAAGTAACTACAACTACAATCTCCTCCATTACCTTCAATTGAACTCGTTCAATTAATACGGTCAAAAACTATGTTTTGTACAAACAAGAATCGTATTTGATGAATAAATAACAAAAGAAAAGATAAAAAGAATAAAAGGCAATACGTTGCTAAGTGTTAACCCTTTGAACTCTGTAAGCTCCAATATTGCACCAGTTATAATATTAAATATTTTAATGAATCTTAAAGAAACTACCCTAAAATTATTAGATTCTCCACACAGCCAAATTTTGTACTAAGAAGGAAAATAAAAGATCGAAGAAATGTTATAGCATTTCTCATTTTCGCTAGGAATACTATAAAAATTAGTCGCAGTTGCTGAGAGATTACAAAACAACATGGAGTGCTAAGGGTTAATAAATCTGTGTACGGAAAGCAGAATATTTTCTTTTCATTGAAAAATGAACAGAACTTCCGGTAGGCCTAATATTTCCATTGCAAAGATCACAGTTTTTTTTTAAGATGACTACACTTGACTGCACTTTCTCACCCTGGATGGCATCTTGTGAGGTGTGTCTTGGAAGTATCCATGCGAAGTGGAAAATCCCCGCCTGAATCTCGAGGAGCCGCCGCAATCATTCAGAACAACCATCGTGTTGGATCCTCCATCACCCTTGTCGTACGATGAATCCCGCACCGTTCCACTGAATTCCGTCCTCTCGACTGTAATGCGGATTTGTTATTTGTTTCAATGCGGATTCTTCGTGAATAATGCTTCCATCTTTTTTAAATGGATTACGCGAATTCCCGGCGAAGTTCCTATGCATTCCGCGAGCGTAGAATCAGCAGGAAAGACTGTTGGAATATTTATTTCAACGGACAATCCGTCAGAATAATAATCCAAAACTCGACTTGAATCGAAACTTTCGAGCACATATAATATCACGAACACAATAGGAATCGAAAGATAATCTCCCGTAAAATCGTGATACACGATTTAAGCTTATCACGGTGAAAATTGAAACGATTATTTCGAGATCGATATTTTTTAAGTTGGCAATTTTGTTGTCGCTTTGAACGCGATATTTTGACAGCGATATGCTCGAACTGAAGACTGTTAGTTTTTGTTTTATAAGTTTCACTTTTGTATTAACACGTTGACTGCCACGGTGGTCATCGATGACCGGAGCTTCCAAATGACTTGAAAACAATTATACCTCGTAAGATAACTGACATGCAAGAAAAATGTTCTACAGCGTAAATAAATAGATAATAATGTAACTTAAGAATTGTAGTACCAAGTAATTGATAATCATTTCTTTTTATCTTCGTTATAACAGAAAAAATGACATAAAACGCTGAAGTTTTCTGCGGCGGTCAACGTGTTAAATTAGTTTCTCAGATATGATCGATCGTTCAAGCACTCGGATAAAATAAACAAATAACTTGGCGATTTTCATTTTACGAGAACTAGCTGCGATGTAATGCTGCATTACGATGCAATCGAATCGAATAATCGATGCAATAACCGTAAACACTTTCGGCGTACTTACGGCGTCGTTGACAACCGGACGTTTGCCGTATTTCCTGGCGTAATCCGCGCCAAAGTTCTGCCGCAATTAACGAATACGCCAGGCACATTACAATCAAGGGGATTAGGAGCAAAGTTGCGTCCAAAAATATGTTGTACACTCTCTCGGTCTCCACGTTAGGCCACTCTTCTCGACACTTGTGTCTTCCTGAAAAAAAGTAGATACCGAACCGTCGAATTCTTCGTTGTTAACAAATAAGAAACATTTTTGTTCGAAGAAATGAAATTGCTATGATAAAAATTGTACATTCGATAATTTTACACAAATTCTATAATTCGATCGACTTTTATTTAATAAAAAACAGGGATTAAGCTAATACAACTAAATTTCATTGAAAATCCAATCAGAATGAAAATAGCCTATATCACGGGATTTAGTTTGAACGTTTCATTCGATTTCTGTGAATATTTCATCAAATGATAATTCGATATTGCAATTAATACTAGAACCAGCATTTAATACGATGGATATGTAATCCTTATGAAAATTCTAACAACAGATTATTTTCAATCTCTGCAGGCATTTATTATAGTATTCAAGTAAAACTGTTTATTTTCAAAATCATTTCGAATATTCGATGCTTCGAAGATATCGATAATTCCGAAACAAAAAACGAACCGAAACCAGTCGTTTTGATTGGTACGTAGTGCTAATGTTAATATACGTATAACAATTGTTCCATTTGTAATGATAACGCAGTCATTAATGTCGCAACGATCAAAACTAATGTCTCATTTCTCCTTTCGGCAGTGACGATTGAAATTGATTTCATTTTGAGATCGTTCGAAACGTCGGTGAAACAAGTTCGTACCGCCGCTTAAACTTTGGAGTTGAGAGAAAATCAAAATGGGCGCGGTCCATGTTAGACTCGCTGTCCATACGACGGCGATCATTTTGTAAGCGTGGAACTCGGTCTGCCAGCTCCTCGATTTCAGCGGTCTGCAAATAGCGAAGTATCGCTCCAATGAAATTGCGACGAGGGTCCAGACCCCCACAGACACAGACACAGCTGAAATAATAATAAGTAGACGGTTAATCGTAGTAAAATGGTAGATGCATAGCGTAAGTCTCGCGTTAATCGATTGTTATTATTTTGTTATACATATTAATTCATATGTACAAATGATTTTTAATTGTAATGTGAATATCTTTAAGATTCACATTTGGAAATAAAACAGAATGGAATTTTTAATATTGATGCGTTCAAATTAAATCATATGTATAAATGATTTTTAATTTTAATCTGTGTATCTTTAAGATTCACATTTGAAAATATAACAGAACAATGGAATTTTTAATATTGATGCGTTCAAATTAATTCATATGTATAAATGACTTTTAATTTTAATGTGAATATTTTTAAAATTCACATTTGAAAATATAACAGAACAATGGAATTCTTAATATTGATGTATTCAAATAAATTCACATATATAAATGATTTTTAATTCTGATGTGTATGTCTTTAAGATTCTCATTGGAAAATATAACAAAACAATGGAATTTTTAATATTGATATATTCAAATTAATTCATATATATAAATGATTTTTTTATTCTTAAGTCTTTAAGATTCTTATTGGAGAATATAACAGAAAATATAAATATTTAATATATAATATTCTCATTTAAAAATATAACAAAAATATAACAAAGATACTCATTTGAAAATATCATAAAACAATGGAGTTGTTAATATTGATGCACTCAAGTGATCATGGACGAAATGCTACGATATAAATAGAGATTAAATGGAAAAGCCTTTTGTTAGCAGTAATTTCACGGTACTCTTACAAGTGCACTTTATCATCGTTAACAAGTGGCCTTTAGAATTCAACCGAAATTACATATTTTGAAACCCATTAAGAGCATCGCAAACAAATCTGTCATTTCACGCGTGAAAAACGTTATTTCACTGGACAGTAAATTGAGTGCACTCCGGTGTTTATTTCAAGAATCAATTATGTCTAAATATTTGTCATCGAGTTCAATCATCAAAATTTGCATTTATATTAGGAGCCATAAGCGAGGAGTAACTTCGATCACAGCGAAAGTGCGCATTCTAAAATCGAAGCGATCGCGGTCATTTCATGACGTTGTTCGGGATCAATGAAAAATGTCGTTGTTCGTTATAAGAGTTTCATATAAAAACTTCGCGCTTTAAAACAATACAAGTTTATAAAAACGATATACTTCGAGTCGTAAATTGATATCGTAAATTGATAGAAAAACGTTATGTTACAACACAGTTGTCTCGTTAATAGTTCGAGACAACATGGAACGATAAGACTACATTTTAAGATGGTATAAAATTACGAAGTTATAAGCAGAGAAGCAAGAAGATAAGCAAGTTTCGAAACGATGCAACGTTGTAAAGGGCGAATGTTTAGAAACGGTGTGTATACTGAACTCTAAAACGTGTATCGGAGAGCGTATCGTTGGCAATGCTACCTTTGCATAGTGATATTTCTGGATTACGTATAATTGGTTGGTTCATGCGAATACTGCATTACGAACGAGAACAGACTGCACGGTTTTAAATATTTACGTTCGCCGTTAATTTTCACGGTGCCATATGCCTTAATAATTACGGACGATCTGTTTACTGCGCATTTGGACAATAATTGCATTATCTCGACGCGTGCATTGGAAGGTACGGATACGAAATTCGAGCACAACGTAATTCTCATGGAATAGTTCTTAGGATTTATGAATTCACTTTCCATGATACGTTCGTTGACTAGTGCAAATGATATTTTAAAATGTTAACACCTTTGAAAGAATGTTTTAATTAACCCTTAGTTTTATTTAACCCTTTGGACTTCTAAAGTTCTTCATTAGAAATATTCAACATTTTCCAATGGGATATAAACATTCGTTGAAAATTAATTTGAAGAGAAATTACGTTACTTTCTACATTACGATATAGAAAGTTTAATATTAAATATAAAAATTTACAATTCCACTCTATCAAACTAAGTAGCGACTAGGAGTCGCATTTCGAGTGGTAAGGGTTAAAATATTATGATAATTATACAGCATGTGTTAAAGATCATATTTCTCTTTCTCTGGCAGTATTGTTACAGATTGCGCAGTAATAAGTTTTAGCTCTTACGTGAAACTACTTTTATAATCAATTTCCTTCGATCGTATAAGTATGTACATTATTAAGTCGTTTATCTGCCCTGGCTAATTATAAATTCTAATATTGCAAGTGCTTTCCATAAGGAACATCCTGCAGTCCGTTAAGACGAGAAATTAATGAAGCGATTGTAAAGTTCTCCGTCGTTGTTTCCTTAACCGTTTATTCCACTTCTTCCGCAGTAGATTAAAACTTCTTTGTTCGACGTTCCCGCTCGTTTCTGTCGCTTTTCCCAAGTTCGATTTCTATTTACCGTAACACGTATTCAAATATATTTGTTTACTACCAGCAGAATTCATCATTTCCTAATAATTCCAGTGAAATACTGTACATTTTCGACCATTTGAACATTTCAAACAAATTAACGAAACGCGACGATTTATAATTACGTCGAAGAGATACGTACGTCTATAATTACAGAGGCAACGCAGGCAACAAACACATGAGACAATGAAGTAAATAGAGCACAAAGAAAGAATTTTCCATGGCAAGGACACTTCGAGCAATCGAAACGTGTAGTTTAAATTAACCCTTTGTAGGCTCGTGTGACTTTGAAATCACATACCTATTGGCATCCTGCTGATTTATTTCATTTTGCATTGCAAAGTGGCGAATAAAATCAAACAATTAATTAACTTAAACTTTTTTACACTCAGGCGTGAAAGTTCAACGTCACTGCAATTTCAAAATTACAAGGTATATTCGTATTAATACAATTATTACAACTGTTGAATGCATTGTTCACTTCTATTTACAGGTTGATATTTCTTAATTTCATACTACATGCATCTTTTTATAGCCACGAAAAAGAATTTCGCCTGTAGAGAATTAGATTGGACCGAACGTTGCGCGAGATTTAAACGAACAGGATCTTCGTATCAGGTGTCGAAACGAACCTCGAATACGGAAACGAGAGATAAGATTAACCGCGATACACCGTGTTCCATTTACACGTATCGCGTAGCATATCTGAAATACTTTTAATCTCCGTTCAAGGATAAATATTTCAGGTGCGGGTGTGTACGTTCGACTGGGCGGAGAGTGCTTCCGCGCGGAGCTTTTTGCAGCTTGAGAGGTTCACGCTTCATTGCACCATTGCTTTAAGCCCTGGATCGTAAATGCCAAACGAAAGAATACCGATTCCTGGTGCCCCAGAGAAATTAATTTTATTGCTGCTAGTGGAACTTTGAATTAACGCGTGACGTTAGAGGGAAAAGAAAAAGAATGTAGAAAATGAAAAATTCAAACGATTCGATTTCCAGTGCGAAAAATAATATTTGTATGTTGATAGTAGTCTGTCCTGTTGTTTCTAATCAATCTTAAATCGATACTGATTTCCCATTGGTTTATTCAATTGTTCCTAGAAAAATGTTCATGTGCATCTTGGAAAATAGGAATTTGAAAATAGATTATTAGAGTACATATCCGAGCAATTGTATCAATGAGCACCGACGTATACGTTTGCCAAGTGATGTTTATAAAACTCAGTGCCGAATAATCATATTGACGCGTTCCGTGAACTTAGTGTTAACAGTGTTTTAATGTTTAATCTTTAATATCGTCCAGCGCAGCCTCGGATCTAGGAACACCGGAAAAAGTGAGGAACATCGAGTCCTCCACCTCGTAGCTTGGACATTTTCCTGGGTATTAAAGTACAAAAGATTAAACCACGGGTTTTATGTATTAACATTTACATCTACTACCTCGTACAACGCATAATTCGGTGTAATTAAAAGTTCAGGAAGTGTTTCATATTTCTTACTGTCTACGTGAAAATTTCGAGCGACGACATGTCTTTCTCCGTCGGTATTTTAATTAATGCGCGACCGTTATCAGGGCAAGCATCTTCCGAAGCTCGTTATTTACTTTTAGCAAACCAATACGACGCCTCTCGGGGGCCAACTGGAAACATAAATAATAAGTGAAACAGTACAACTGCAACGGAACAGGAGAAACACAGAGAGATAACCAATGACAAATAAAATCCTTTAACGTTACTCTAATTTACTAGGTTTTGATATGTCTCGTTTTATTCCTTTGTTACGGCGTGCCGGGCATCCTCGCCCGTGGACACGGCATTTCAATCAATAGAAACAATGCGTACCTTTGTAAAATCCGGAACAAAAACCATGGATCGTAGAGGAAGGATTATATAAAGGCACTCGAGCAGTTGGCATTCAACGCGCTCCTCGTACAGAACAAATATACGAAAGAAATAAAAGAGAAGCAACTTTTATTTCCCGCAAGTAACAGATCCAACGTGGTCTTTCCGTGTGTATTGTATAAAAGCGAAATAAATTCAATCAAGAGGATGTATCATTTCATTCGATTCCGTCTCGTATCGATACAGTTGCTCGGCGGGATTGGATTTTTGGTAACGGTGAGGTAAAAGTATTATCAAAAGTTCATCAGTGAAACGGACGTAGATTTATCAGCAGAAAAGAGGAACGGAAGTGCATTAAAGATCGTTTGGAACGTGTGTGTCTCGCGTTTCGCGTGTCGGCGCCAGTGGGGACGTGTTTCCTCCCGTTCGTTATCCATTTTCAGTGTAGCGTGAATCACCGAGACGGTGAAGTTTGATTTCTTAGGCTCGGTTCGCATCGATGAAGCGCAATGCGCCGCACGGGGCTGTAAAACTCAGCTGAAAGAATCGATTTCACGGGGAGACACGCACCGGAGCCGTGCACGCGATGCGCACGTAGCGTCGCGGAGAGATTGAAAGGAATACGTGATTAATTCGTATGGTTTCGATGAGTTAATTCGCGTGTACGCTCGGAAATAAATCAGAACGCGCGTCCATACGGCCGGCGTGAGATGATTCGAACGAATGACACGCGCCGCAACGCTCATGATTATTCGAACGACAGG